TTCAATATAGTTTTCTGACATAAAGCAAAAAAAAAGTTACTTGTTAGAGTGGCTCTTGGTCTAAATCTAATTAATAAATGTTTTTCTTTTTTCATTCCATTATGATGTTAGATTTTACTGAAACTACACACAAATACGACCCTAAATTCGACTGTGAACATATGCCTGGCATGGATGTATTTGACCTGACAAATGCTACTTGGGAAGACGCCACTTAAGCAGCAGAAATACAGTATAGGAAATATTCATCGATTTTTCGTACATATAAATAATAAAACTACACGCGATTTTACATAATAGTGCCAAATAAGTATAATACCTTTTTTATACCACGTTTTTTCAATTTTTGCTTTTCTGCGCTCAAGGCAAAGTTTAGCTATGGTAATTTAAAATAATCATATGTATTCTATGTGCATTTTTAGCTCCATCTATTAGAATAAAAAGGGACCTGAAAGCCAGCTCTATTGTAATTGATATCATAAAATTATAATATATAAAAAGATTCAGTGGTGTTTCAACTCTTAAAGTTATGGACGTATGAAGTCTGTAAATCAAACAAAGAAAAAGGGTTTTCTTGAATATTTAAATTAAAATTAAAATTGTATATGATTCAATAGGAATAATAGTAGCAATACAGATTCGTACTTTGAAATACAGCATAGATGTTTGCTACCCAATAAATATTACCTAAAGTGTTGATGTCAATCGTATTATTACGTTTCAATTCATGCATTCTTTCATTCGCTGATGATACGAAACTTTCAAAATGTATCGTGTAGCAGATTACTATGGACGCAATTTATTAAAATTAAATGTCAACAAAAAAAAGGTCATATAATATCATCGGGGTTCACTGTAATATGAATACAAATACAACATAGGTGGCGTTGCTAGGGAATGTTGTTTGATGTGAAGATGAATTTTTCAAGTCACACATTGAGCATGTTTCAGCTAAGGCCAAATCAAGACTGGCTTGGGCACATTTTTTACATTTGTATAACCAATTATCGAGTATGGTACAGAAATTTGGAATCCAAAGACAAAAGGTGGCGCAAGAGTCTTTTATCTTCAAAATTATTCAGGGATATATAAAGTCGACTCATGTATCAAACAGTTTAACCTATTACGTTTCAGCGAATAATAACCGTGAAACACCCCTTTTAGATTTGCCAATTAGAAGGAATGATTACAAAAAATTCGAACCAATTAATAATATGCTTATAAAATTCAATGATTATTATACAAAAAAGATAGCAAACAGTGATACTAATTTAATTGATTTAGAAGTTGAAAAATATTTTAAACAAAACTTACGAATTAGAAAAAATGAAAGAAATTAAAACAAATGGACATTTTTTGATATCATTGAACTCAAACGCTTGTCGTTTCAAAACCAGTGAACCAGTTTCATGAATATTCAAAATAGTTCTTCATTAGATGTAGAGAAAATATGCCAAAATTCATAAGTTTCTGAGAATGGAAAGTATATCGACAATTTGTATGAAAATACATAGGTGGTCTTAAACTTTTGCAGGGTAGTGTATATATTTCATCTTACTTCTAGCTTCACTTCCAATGAATGTGTAGCACTATTCAAGCGTTTCAACGTTAACTTTTGAAAAGCCGCACTCAGTTAAGAGGGTAGTGTAAATACCCCCTCCCCCCTCGAGATAGAAGTCAATTTGACACGAAAGGCAATCGCACTTTGAACACTGCAGTTGTGCTGCTCTCTGATATTCACAAGTTCAACCCTATGTAAAGACATTGCTTTCCTCTTCTTCTTCATTTCCAAGAAGCATGTGCTTTACAGCAGCTTAACGTCGAGATACCAGGTGGCAGCACATCTGCATGTTCGAAACCCAATACATTGCTTTGAATGGAGTGAGAGTAGAGCATGATTTGACCCCCTGATTAAAAAAAAACCGTGCGCATGTGTGATCGTGTTAACAAGAAAGGTGTCGATTTTTCGCCTTTTCATGCCCTTCACTTTACACCGATTAAAGCAATATCATTGGAAATTTGATCAGATGTAATCCTCGAAGTCCCTTATCAAGGTGGAGAGTCAAATTTTGAATAACATCTCATGGTAAAAATAGTTTTTTCAATGGATACCCCACATTTTACACCTTTTGAATTTGGCCTAATGTACTTCTAGCAGTCTTCAACTATCCAGTAAAATCACATTTACATTATCTTTTATACGCTTTTATATGAGATGAGCTATCATACAAAATATAAAAATATTGCGGACAGGCTACACGCGGGTACACAGTGAAATATGCATAGAAAACATGTTTTGGTGTGACTTTCATTTTTTGGCTTAATACATTACCTTTCCCTAGGTATGCGGAAAAGTAACAATTTGTTGACTTTAATAAAGAAATTCTTTATTTTGGATCGTTTGTATTCCAGTTGGCAGACTCATGGAGTTTAATCGAATTAAAAATGTTTCAATCATTTCTGATCCCAACCGTGCATATACGTCCATCATCTTTATTTGTATGTTCATTAATGTAGTGTGCATTGAATTCGTTACGATCATTTATACTTTTTCAATCCACTTTAATTTAAGTTGTTAAATTTGTATGCTTTGATGCCTAAAAAATCGGTTTAAAGGATCGAGTACTATCGTCAAAATATTTCCCCCTTTGCCAAGCGAAATTAACTCGATATACGGCGCTGATGTAAATGTCACTCTGTCATTCCACAATAATACATTTTTTCACACAAATCACAACTAACCTCAATATGAACAAAAATTGACATAAAATTCAATTTATCCGAAGTCCCAACCGTTTTTGGGATAAATTTATAAAAAAATTAATTTGTTTATAAATTACAATCATTTCAAGAAGGTTTCATCGAAGAATCCAATGTAAATAGTAACAACAATGCAACACCTACTGTAAAAATGCAAAAAGAAACTTGGTTGGTCTCCATTGTAGCATTTTGGTCCGCCATGACAGCATCTTCGTTTTACTTGACCAATCACAGAGAAGCAAAACGAAGATGCTGTCATGGCGGACCAAAATGCTACAATCCCAAATAAGTTTCCTATTGCATTTTTACGGTAGGTTTCGCATTGGTATTACTTTTTACATTGGATTCTTGTTCAATCTATGAAAAAAAATTGAAATTATTGTTTTTTTTGAACAAATAAATTTAAAATATAGAGAATTTTTATGAAAAACGTATGAAGAATATTTTATGAATGTTTCTATTTTTTACTCGACCGTTCAAAAATTATAATTGCATGTTGAATGAAGAGCTTATGTATTGTCAAGCCAAAAAATGTATTATTGTGGAATGACATAGAGTGACATTTACATCAGCGCCGTATATCGGATTAATTTCGCTTAGCAAAGGGGGAAACGTCGTACTCGGTCCTTTGAAAAATAACATTTCTTATATTATATTTATACTATATGTTGATTATTAGTTTTTTTATTGATGGTGCGATAAGACACAAGCAAGATTCTTGAAGACATAAATATTCTTGCACATGGTACTATGGCACTAAACATCATAACCTATAATAGATGTCATTGGTTAGGAATGATTCCTAAGGGCATATCACCATTTGCAAATATTCTGTATTTGCAAAAAACTTGCGTATTTTCAAAGATATTTGCAAGTTTTTTAATATTTGTACACATTTGCAAATATTTGCCCTGATTTACGACATTTGTATACTTGACTGTGTAAATGCAGCTAATGAGAATATCTCATTTATCACGAAATTAAAAAGGAACTAATTAACTTCAAGTATAAAATTTTTGGAATTTTAATATTATCAACTTTTTTTTTTTTTTGTTGTCCGAAATATTAAAATTATGCTGAAATAAATATAATATTACTAACTTAACCTAACTTTTGATTTGTTATTGTTTTACATCAAACGTCAAAAACAGACCGATGTCAAAAAGCTTCTATTTGCGCCGCGAATCCACTAGACGGTTAAAAGTTGTTACGTTCAACCACGTTCAACATTTGCAAAGCGAAAGTTTGGTTAAGTTTGTAATATTATATTTATTTCAGCATAACTTTAATATTTCGGACAACAAAATAAAAAAAGTTGATAATATTAAAATTCTAAATATTTTGTGATACATTTGTATATTTGCTCAACATTTGTTGAATTTGTGATACATTTGCTGCATTTATTGAAAGCACAGCGTATCTTTTCAAAAATGATGCTTTTATTTTCGTGATATGCCCCGAGAGTGAATCATATGGAGCAGACATACATTGGAAGTATAGTATATTGGTATAGTATACCAATTGGTATTA